GTTATAATGATGGATTAATGTGTGTGTGTATATATATATATATATATATATATATATATATATATATATATATATATAGGGGCGTTTCCTCCAAGTAGGGAAGGGAGGCAGTGTCTCCCCAAAAAATTTGTAGTACAAAAATAAAACAACGCCAGTATTACACAATATAATATTAAAAAGAGTATAAATCGCTTGTTTCTCTAAAGAAACATTGTCCAACAGCGACACCAGCAGGTAAAGTTACAGCAGGAGTCCGTGTCTCTCTCGCCTCCCCTGAGCCCATTGAGTTTTAACAGACCCCGTGCCGTGAGTTTGGTGGGGGTTATAGAGAAATGAATGGGGGAAAATCATGTGAGAGGAGACAATGCCTCCATCGCGATATGATTGAATCTGGCTGGTTATGTTCGGCTGTGATTGGTTCATGCGATAATTCCCGCCTCTTGTGTTCATGCGCGTTCGCGAATCAGTCTGAATGAACAATATAATGTCATTAATGGGAAGACTCATTTAAAAAAAGTAAGTAAACAACGCACACACTTAGATATAATAACTTTGTTACATCAAAATAAGACTTATAATGGCCTGAAAACATGATAGTGAGTAATCAGCTTGGTGAAATTTAAAGTAAATCTCTTTGTCTGTGACCAATATTTACTAAGCATTGATGACTGATGAATCGAATAATTCAAAAATAGTTAAAAGTTAACTATGAAAAAGAATAGCTGAACATAAGTTCACAAATAAAATATATTGTTTGTTACTGCCTTGAGTTATTATTTTGGAATAAATGTAAAATGCTTAAAAACACTATGAGATTCATACTTGGCTTTAATAAACAAAATATTGATTACATTGTTAATGTAAAAATATCTCAAAAATTGAAGAGCTAAGAAAAGTCACAAGCGAGATGAAAGCAATATGAGCAATTTACTGAATAAAAACAAGCATGTTGACCATTTTCAATGCCAAGCTAACAATGTTAGAACTAGGAACTCCTTTTTTTGGTCTAGGCACTTCAGTTGGATTATTTTGAAGGCGCAGTGAGTCTCTGGCTGCTTTCATGTAAAAATATAAAATTGATTTTTTTTCCCCTCTGGTTGTGTAAGTAATGTGTATTTAACGAAGAACATGTGACTGGGACAGGAATTTACATTTGATTTATAAAAATTAAAATAAAAAAAGGACTGCCTCATTTCAGAACACCACCGATATATATATATATATATATATATATATATATATATATATATATATATATATATGTATATATATATATATATTCTAATTCAGCGCTGTGATATATTGACTCTTCAGAAATATAAACTCCAGGTCTTGATATGGTATGGTATGATATATATATATCATACCATACCATATCAAGACCTGGAGTTTATATTTCTGAAGAGTCAATATATCACAGCGCTGAATTAGAATATATATAGTAGTAGTAATATAGTAGATAGTAGTGTCTATACACTAATATATTTCTTAAGACGTGGATAATTTTAACTATCAAGACACAACTATAGGCACTGTCCTATTATTAGACGCAGTACAGCAGGACTGTGACGTCCAACATCTCAACCTCTCTGCATGAATCACATGCCCCGTAACAAAATGTTTTACCCTATTTAAAAAAAATGAATTAATTAAAAATAACATCTTAACGCCTAACGCCTATATATTCACTAGACAAACGTGGCAGTCACGGGCGCCAAAAATGCAATATAGCTCGAGTATAAATCGTTTTAACTTACCGAAACGTTGAAGAGACTGGGGGAAACTCGGGATATTGAAAGAAAACAGACCCAGTAACGTAGAGCTAGCTTTAGCTGGCTTCTTAGTTGAGGTGTGTTAACTGGAGACCATCGTTCTGCTCGGAGCATCCGCAGTCACTTCTGAGGAGAGCGCCAGTGGTATTTGGGAAATGACCCTGTTCAAATATATCGTTTTCTAGTTTATGTCTGACTACATTAACAACTTATAAATACTGATATTATAACCAGACTAAGTGTTATCCGCCAGCTGGCTGTCTCTGTTTCCTCTCGCGCTGAAGCGCTGAAGCTCGCAGAGTTTATACCGGCTGGAGCCGGTATTCAAGCGCGGGCGCGACAGCAGTCTGAGAATCGGGAACGCGCACCGCACTTCCCGGTGGTGCGCCGCTGGATGCGCTCAGGTCTCACCCGTCTGTTTACTTTACACACACAGAGCATCCCCTGACAAGACCTGGACTTCATGTGTCCGAAGAGTCAACATATCACAGCACTGAATTATAGATCATTTGTTATGTAACCGCGACAACACTTCTGTGTTCTGTGAAAATACACGCATTTCATAAATAGCCTAGTTATTGATAATAGTAATTTTATGAACTACAGTGTGAAAAATCAAGACGTTTTGTGAGCACCAGAAGAGGACTGCGCGTGTCCGTAGTGAGTGACTGTCTAAAGGCCGAGCGATCTCGTGCACGTGAAGCCTGACGCGAGCCTGCTGGGTAAAACAGGTTTATTCCGGTTCTGCCTCCTGTACAGGCGAGCTAGCCATAAAGATTACATTATCAGCCTGCGTTTAATGGCTCCTTGTAAATATTGAGGGAAAGGCCAACATTTAGTAACAGCTTCCAAAGAAATTCTGTTACGTGTTGTTATTTCTTCCTCAGAACGGCAGGAAGGCGCACTAACGGTAATAATGCGACGGTTGTTCTCCTGATTCATGAAGTCTGTAACCCACACAACTATTCCCGCATTTAAAACAAGCTATAGGCTACTGCTGTTGCGAAAACATAAAAGAGACTCATCAATTAAGACACGTTGCGTTTTTTTAATACTGCTTTATTTTGAGAGATAAAAAAGTATACGCACATTTACACACCGTGTGGTTTTATTTTACGTTTTGCATCTAATTTAATCATTTTTTTGCAGTAAAAATGTATATTATCCGCACTACAGTTGAAGTAAACAGTTAATTGAAAATTTACACAATTTCTAAGTCACATTTTTGCTTCAACTCCACAAATTTGTATAAAACCTGATACTTATGTTCTCTAGCCTGCTTTGAAAAATGATCCAAAGTGCATCTGCTTCGATAGAAGAGAATCTGACCATCTGTACAAATTATTCACTGGATAAATCTCACAAACTGAATTAGTAGATTTGATTAGTGACCTAGAAATAGTGCAGAATCTGAAATATGTCTTTCTCATTTTATGTCATAATGTTTCTTTTATTTTGAAAATGCTTATAATTTCTGCTTGCTTCCAGTTAAATTGTACAAAAGTTAAATTATCTTTTGAGAGGTCTCCTAAATCATTTCTCTTTGCCAGTGGTCAGATTACGCATTTATCTTTAGGTGGCCTGTCATTTAAGGTGAGAGATAAGTAACCAGCTAACTGTTACCTAAGAATGCATCATTGTCTTTCATAAGTACTAGATGGAGAGTGCTTGTGTTGCAATCAGCACACAAAACAAAGCAGCACTGTTTGTGTCTGGTTTCTTAACTACAGTTGCCATAGATTAATAGCGTGCAGAACAGTGAATCTCAAACTTTTTGATGAGTACTGGACCTTCGTCACATTTGGAAGGACCTGCAGAAAAATATCAGCCCACTGGTGTCATTAATGTTTTTGTGACAACCAAATGCAATCAAGTATAATTTACTACCAGTTAAGTTTGTTGATTTGTCCAACATTCAGTCCAAGATTGGCTTGTTCTTTATGGGAACATTTCATATGTCAAAATTTCCAAATATTTATGGCATAGGCTACTCATATATTTTATACGGACCCTCTGACATTGTCAAGTTAAATTTTCTTAACTTTGAGGCTCCAAATATTTGTGCTTATGTTGCATTTTTTTCTATTTCTATGTATTTTTCTGAGATTGTTTTTCACAAAAACCTTGGCAGGATTAATTATTATCATCATGATATGCTGTTACACACTAGATTTCACCATAACAAGAGTTCATATGATCATTATATGCTGACTTACAATGTCTGGTTAAATTATAGCACTGTGTACCCTCAGACCCTAACAAACAAGGTTACAGTGCAACACTGCTGTGTGTGCTCCTCAGAATGAAATGCTGACAATCATTCCATTTGAACTTTACTACAATGAGAAGGCAAAGGTGAAAGTAGATCACTGAGTTAAAGCACATGTAAATACATGACCATTAAACACACAGGTCTGATTCATCGATAATGGGTAGAGTGATAATAGATTACTTAAAATGTCCTTGTGAAGAAACTTGTAAGTTACTGTTTATGTGTTATGATTATCATTTCAGTAACTTCCAGAAGCTGTATCACAGGCATCTGTGTCAATGCCAAACCCTGTATATATAAGCACAAGACATCAGTTGCTTTGTAGCGGAATATTGTTCAGTACCTTGGACAGCTCATTTATCACACACATCAGGGCCTTTTTTTGATATTCAGATGTTCTTATGCAAGTACTTGATGATATGGTTAAAAACTCTAGAATGAGTTCATTTTAGCGCTTTTAGGTAAATAGGTAAAACTTTATCATCAATATACCATTCTGAGACATTTTTATCATGGAGGCATCAAAAGGTTCCAGATATTAAAGGCACCTTTTCATAGTGGTGACTCTGTGTTTGTTATTCCCCCTTCAGATGTGTGTTTCTTCCCTAATTTTTTATTGAATATTTAGCATTTGTCAATAAATATATTTTTTAAAACGGATAGTTCCGGTCGGTGATGCTGATTGGTCAATAGCAATGTTTTATTTCTGATAAAACATGGTTATGACTGCTTCACCGAGCAGATCTGTGTGTCACTGTGCTTCATAGAGTGATTGATTGCTCACTGAGAAGCATGGATCATTTCAAAATGCAATTAAACTCAAAAATGCAAATCTTGTTGAATATCATTAGTACCTTTAATATGCTTTTACACGAATTAGCATAAACAGCAAGGGCAGATAATAATACATGAAATCTCCCGTGGAAATGACCTCAGAAGTTGAACAAAGCACTGTGGGATCAACAAAGTTGTTTGGATAATGCCCAAAGCTCAACATGTTCTTTTGACTTTTAAAACAAATAATGATCTGTGTAGCACAGTTGACTCTTCACAGTACTGCAGTGCTCATGTTCACTTGAAAAAAATAAAAAATTCTAAGGTTATCTTGTTCACATTCTATCACCAGGGGAATTATCTAGTCTTAAATATCTCATATTTGTACAGCCATGTATTCTATGTAATTTTATAGTATGCTATTGACTGTTTGTTTTTTTAATATTGTAAAATAGAGGATTCTACATACATACATACATGCATCACACTGCATAGACCTCATGTGTATTGGTATGAAGGCTCTTTGGCTCTCTCTGTGGAACTGCGCCTGACCATGTAAAAATTTGGATAATGATGACAAAACAAATTCATAATTAAAATCAACTATTAGATTATCTAATCTGACCTTAATGACCTTAATCACAGAAATGTTCATGGTGTTTTCAGTCTAAAGTCATGAATAGCATGTGTATTTGAATTATAAAAATTTTAATTATATAATTTATAATTATACATATTTAAATTATATAATTTATAATGATAAAAATGTTATTATAAGATATAGTTATAAAAACGTTATAAAGTGTTACATTTAATAATATTACATTAATATTATAATATTATTACAATTTTAATATAAAAAAATGTTCTATTTGAATATATTTTGAAATGTAATTTGTTCCTATGATGGTAAAGCTGAATTTTCAGCAGTCTTCAGTGTCACACGATCCTTCAGAAATCATTCTAATATGCTGATTTGCTGCTTAAGAAACATTTCTTATTACTATCAATTTTGAAAACAATTGTGTTGCTTAATGTTTTTGTGTGTGTGTGTGTGTGTGTGTGTAAACAGTTATATGTTTATCATGATATTTTGAGGGAATAGAAAGTCCAAAAACAGCATTTACTTGAAATAGAAATATTTTGTAACATTTTACTGTATGTCTTTACTCTTGCATTTGATCAATTTAATGCATCCTTGCTGAATACAAGTATTAACTTCTTTTAAAAAAATTTGCTTTTGATTGAAAGTGTCTATTCTAATCTGATGAAGAAAAGACCACAGGAGACAGGAGGTGTTTTGCATAATTTCATTCCTAATAGATTTCCTAAATATTAATTTCTTTTTTTTATCTTTTGGTCTTGAGCAATCCAGCAAAATACTTTGCACTCGTACAAGTAATATCATAGGCACATACATACAAAACATCCCGTTGTATTAGTTTTCAGGATGGTAACATGTAAACATATTAAGTATCAATACAGCAAAACACATTTATAAAAAAGTAATTCCTCTTCTCTTATGATTCAATATGATGGTGTTATAAATTAAAAGAATAAAATGCTACAGTATTACGACTTACTTGATACAATGTGTTACGTAACTAGAACAATATGTGGTTATATTTCAGTCATGCACCTCATTTATAACACACCCTTCAGGGGTCTGAGTGACAACGACCCAAATCCCTGATCAACTCAATTTAAGATATTAGCATTTCAACCTTTCCGTTAATAATTTAGCACCCTGAAGTTAGGTTTTTTTTTGTGTAATTTGTCCTTGCTCATGCACTGAGGATCCTCCTGTGACAGTTGCAGCCTCCACCTGTTCTCTACCCTCTCACGGTCGTCTCCCCTTGCCTCGCCCAGATCCATCACGGCACCAATTTATCTACCGGAAACCAGAACAGAGCTTTATTGTTCCCTCAGCCATGGGTGTGTTATAGACAGATACAGATCTCAACAGGAGCTAGCTGAGAACATGTCCGAGCCATATCAGTTAGCCACAATGACACTCGGAAGGTATATCAAAGCAATAGCAATGGCATCTGAGCATGTTAGTCCAAACTGACATCCTATAAATTATCAAATCCTTCTGACATCAGAGTCCTGAGCTCCTCCATTTAAAGGAATAGTTCACCCAAAAAAAATAAATTCCTGAGAATTTACTCATCCTCAGGCCATCCAAGATGTAGATGAGTTTCTTTCTTCATTAGAAATTTAGCATTACATCACTTGATCACCAATGGATCCACTGCAGTGAATGGGTGCCGTCAGAATGACAGTCCAAACAGCTGATGAAAAC